CCGGCCCCGGCGCGCTGCTCGGTGCTGGCCGGGGGCCTCGGGCCCTTCCGTCCACTCTGGGCGCTGCTGGCCTTCGCTCTGCCCGCCCTCCTGCTGCTTGGCGCCTACGGCAGCATCTTTCTCATGGCGCGCCGCGCCGCCCTGCGGCCCCCGCGACCCCTGCGCGGGACCCGGCTGCGCTCCGACTCCCTGGATAGCCGCCTCTCCATCTTGCAACCCCTCCGGCCTCGCCTGCCCGGGGGCAAGGCGGCCCTGGCCCCAGCGCTGGCCGTGGGCCAGTTTGCTGCCTGCTGGCTGCCTTATGGCTGCGCGTGCCTGGCGCCCGCAGCGCGGGCAGCGGAGGCCGAAGCGGCTGTCACCTGGGTCGCCTACTCGGCCTTCGCGGCGCACCCCTTCCTGTATGGCCTGCTGCAGCGTCCCCTGCGCTTGGCGCTGGGCCGCCTCACCCGACGCGCGCTGCCCCAGCCTCCACGGACCTGCACTGCGCGGACCTGGCACCCGCGGGCACTTCTCCAGCGCCTCCAAGGACCCCCAGAGAGTCCTTCCCTAGGACCTTCGGAGGCACCAGTGCAGGCCCCTAAGTTGGCAGGTGGGAGGAGTCTGAGCGAGTCAGAGGCCACCTGAGAACTCTCTGGAGCAAAGGAGGGCGGTGTCAGAGGGGCCTATCCAACCCCCTGCAGGTCACAGCAGGTGCCCTGCCTGATCTTAGGCCTCTGGAACAGGAGAAAGCGAGACTGCAGCCTGGCAAGTCCCAGGCTTCTGAGAGCAAGGGTTCCTGGGCTCTCCACCCAACACCCAATGGCCTCCTGCATAGCCCTACCGTTCCTTAGGCCTGTTTCCCGTCTGTACCCTGCGCCATGGCTAAGGGCCCCTCCAGCATAGGCATCTTGTGCGACTCATGGATGGTCACCAGGATGCGGGAGGAGAGGCTGGGCAAAGAGGGCCCTACAGGCTCACAGCCAAAGCGATGGCCAAGCAGGGCACGGTGTGGGTGACAGCCACAGAGGAACCAGCGGAGAGACTCAGGACTTCGCGGACATCCGCACCCAGGAGAGGTTGGACAACGCTGCTGGGACTCTTCCACCTGCTTCTAAAATGCCCAGAAAACGCCCGGATGGGTTTGCCATAGAAGCAGGAGGATGCACGACGGGGGAGCCTCAGAACTGCCATGTGAAAGGGGCTGAGGCCCAACGCGAACGGGGGGATCCACAGTCGGGGGTCCTTCAGGGCCTCGGCTGTACCACTCCCAACACCACTATTTCACAGCCTTCTGGTCGCTGAGAATATTTATTCAAAAACAGGGATTGAAAAAACTGTACAGAGTGTCTGCTGCTGGGAACTGGGCCCCTGCCCCCGTG